GCTCCCTGGTGGGACACCAAGGGGTGAGTGGGAGGAGGGGAGGCAGTTGCAGAAGGTGGGGTTCCCCCCCAGACCATGTAAGTTATCCTAGTCACAGTGGCACAGCCCCATAAATCCACTCACATCTCTTTGCTTTTCCTGCCGAGATGAATGTTTCCTTTGAACCCTAAGCTATGTCATAAATCAGAGCGCCCCTCCCTTGTGTGTGCTGAGTCCCAAGCCGCAAGATATTCCTTGAACTTGGCACAAAAATGTTAACAATAGCGTGGATTAAAGACGCCCTGTGTTCCTGTGAAAGGGAATGTGCGAGGCCATTTCTGGGGGATCCATTTTCCTGTCAGACGCCAGGCCCAATCTTTCTGCAGCAGACAAGGGAAGAGTAATGCCCCTTCCAGGAAACCGATCAAGGCTCTTTCAAGTGGTGCTTTGCAGAGATGATCGCACTGGCTCAGGAAGGGGAGAGGGAGGAAATCGGAGGGAAGGACACTGGTTCTGTAGCCTGCAGGCCTTTTGTGTCTCTACAGAGGACCAGCTCCATCCGTTTACCAGCACCGTTCCTGTGTTAGCACTTTTAAGGGGTATTGGGGTCCGAGTCAAGGTGGCCGAGCTTGGTCTCAGGTGCAAGTCACCTCCCCTGGTCCAGCAAGTTGCTGCTTTGGTATGAGTTGCTGCAGCCGTCCTAAACACTGAGGCTGGTGTGAATATTGGCTCACAATACTGGTGCCTGCCAGTCTTGTGGCTGAAGAAGGTTTGTTTTTAAATCCGGAGTTTCCCAGAATCTGTGTTGTGTGCAGTGCTGAAGCTGATACCTGCATGCAACTTGTCGCCGCCCATAGGAGAAGTTCACACAACAGCCACCCAGGGAGTAGACAAGTGAGGACTAGCACCTTGTACGTGTGAAGGATAAGTGCCAAATGACACCAGGGCAGCTGTCTAGTAAGTCTGAAGACGGATTGTTCCATTAGATGGTGAATTGAAAGTTTTCTTATGATTATTATAAAACATTCCTATAGCACTGTAAATTTCCCCACGCCTTCACCGAGCATCAGCAGAGCACGTGCCCTGCCCTGAAGAGCTTCCTGGCTCACGAAGAGACAAATGCACAAGGCGCAGGAAGGTGTGGGGATTTCTCATGAAGAGAAGAAGGGTCAGATTCATCCCCGGTGTAACTCAGCTAACGTCACTAATGTGTGGGGCCTGAAGGAAGCAGGGGTTGCAGGAAGAAGCGTCTTCCAGGAAAAGATTTGAAGGAGGAAAGGGAGGGGCCCCTTGGTGGCTGAGGTGTGTGAGTGGGATGGACTTGTGATCAAATGGGGCATTGGAATATTTCCTGACAAAGCCACTAATTTGCTGTCAGTTAGTATTAAAAAAATTAAATCACTGCGTAGCCATGTCTACACTAGGGAGCTTAAGGGCACAGCTGTACCGATGCAGCGGTGTCACTGTAAGATCACTCATGTAGCTGCTCCGTGCCGACAGGAGAGAGCTGTCTCATCGACATCATTAAATCCCCCCCCCCCCCCAACAAGCGGCGGTAGCTATGTCGGAGGGGAGAGCATTTCTGTCGGTGTCACTTATGTCACTCAGAGGGGTGGTTTTTTACACCCCTGAGCAATAGAAATTATACTGACAAAAGTGCTAGTGTAGACATAACAGAAACCTACTTTTCCCCTAGTTAGATCAGGGAAGGTTAAGAACAGGCCTACCAGGGACCAGCAGGCTTCATACAGGGTAGGGTAATTAGCAGGATGGAAAACTATGGCCCAGCACACTCCTGACAAATAAAGAACCCATGGCATTTTTGCAAGATTCAGTGTGTTAGTCTCATTGTCTTGGCAAAACCCCAACTGGGTAATTATAGTCTTCCATTCTATGGCTAAACCCTAACTTGGCTCTATCTACCTACCTTCCTACTCATCACTGCAGTATCTAAGTTCTAAGCACTTCCTGTGCTAAAGTCTTGCGTAATGTTGCTGGGAAGTGCTGCTGCACTCCACCCAAAGCGAGATGCGTTTTAGTGGGAGGGAAAGTGGAGTGATGCGGAGTCTAAAGTCGGGGGAAGCTCTGTGTTGGCTGCCAGCAGCACCCTGGCCACCAGGGGGAAGGGGCCGCCAGCTCGGAATGCCCAGGGTGTGGAAAGTGATCCCTACACGAATTGAATTCTGTGGAATATTTGACGCTTTGAAATGCCCTGTAGAAACCAGTGAATAACAATGGTGTAGTAACAGTATTAGACCCAGGAGTCTGCCTTGTGGCCTTATGTTTTCCTATCTGCACTGCCATGCGGGCAGGCCTCGGGGGCAGTCTCTCACTGCCAGGGAGACTCGACGCCATCCCTGCTGGCCTTTGAAGGGAGTCCCACACAGGACCGGCTCCAGAGTTTTTGCCGTCCAAAGCGGCGGGAAAAAAAAAAGCCGCGATGGCAATTGCGATCGGCGGCACTCCGGCGGCAGCTCCACCGCGCCGCTTTCTTCTTCGGCGGGAATTCGGGGCAGGTGCTTCCCTCCGAGAGGGACCCGCCGCCGAACAGCCCGACGTGCCGCCCCTTCCCTTTGGCCGCCCCAAGCACCTGCTTGCTGGGCTGGTGCCTGGAGCCAGCCCTGGTCCCACACAGCCTATTGCCTTGATTGCACGTCGCTCCCTGAGATCTGCGTTTGGAGGAAGGGTCGCTCTCCACTCTCATTCCAGAGGAGGCAGGCTTGCCCCCCTGAGCATTTGGTGAGCTGAGGACTCTGAATCTGAAGTCGTGGGGATGCTGAGTGTTAGCTGCTAGTAGCCTGCGCTCCAGAGGGAAGGGGCAGTCACCTCAGCATGCTCCAGGGATGTTCACGGAACAGGATCCCAGGGGCTGGAGTTTGTTTGCAAGGAAGATAAAGATAAAAGAGAATAAAACAATTCAAGTTGAAGGAGGAAGGAAGAGCAGAATGAAATGGGGAGCAGATGGGGAGGAGGAAGGAAGCAGTGAGACAGGCATAGAGCCTTTGAGACCCAGGAGAAGAGAGGAAGGGGATGGAGAGGGAAGGGGAGAAGGCAGAGGGAAGGGGGGAGGGAAAAGCAGAAAGAATTAATTGACAGAATACTAGTAGCCAAAACACATTGAAACCCTGTTATCTGCTCTTAGCTCCCGCCACCCCAGTGCTCACTTACTCCTCAGCCCCTCCCTCCCCCAGCTGGGCCCATGGCTAGCCAGCACTATTGCTTGCTCATTTTCATGAGCACCCAATTTGCTCCCAAGTGTGCAAAGACCCAAATCAAACAGAGCTTAGTGGCAGACTGTGCCCAGGTCCAGTGTGTGCTGAGCACAGCAGGCATGCGCTCTGGTGCACACCCTGTCATGCTGGTTATATATACAGGACTCATGTAGTGTGTGATTCCATGTGTTAAGTGGTGGCACAGACTCATGCGCCAGAATCTCAGCTATCATTTTTAAAAAAATCTAGCCCTCATGGTAGCAAGGGAAGCCTTCCAAAAGTGACCTGAATGTAATCAATGCAGGACTGTCTGCCTGAGTCTGCAGAGTGCCTGAAACAATAACTCTGTAGTGGAACTGCCCTCTGACGCTCAGTGGAAAATTAATTCTCAAACATAATGATGACAGTTTAAATGGCACCATTGCTGACTATTTCACTGTCAATCATTTCAAAAGTAACATCCTTAGGCCACAACCCAAGCTGCCTTTTTCAACTGCCAGAGACTCAGCTTCCCTCTGACAGCTTCTGTGGTGGTTGTGGTGTGTTGTTAATACACCGGTCGGTGGCATGCTGAGAACGGTACATGCAGAGGTAGTGTAATGAACGGGATTCAATATCCAGTGAAATACCAGTGTGGGAAGGGCTGTACTAAGTGAGTTATTCACACTGAACACACTGATACACTGAATAGTGGAGGGTATCAAAAATTGTTGCAGAGACTTCTCTCTGGGTGCTGAAGTAGCCACAGAAATTAGGCCTGGCCATGGGGTTTAGGCCAAGCTTGAAGTGGGATCTGTGGAGCTCTGGTTACTCATGGATAGGGCCCTACCAAATTGATGGTCCATTTGGTCCATGTCTTGATCATGGGATTTTAAAAATCATAAATTTCATGATTTCAGCTATTTAAATCTGAAATTTCACGGTGTTGGAATTGTAGGGGTCCTGACCCAAAAAGGAGTTGGGGGTGGGGGGGTTGCAGTACTGCTACCGGCAGCGGCGCTGCCTTGAGAGCTGGGCAGCTGGAGAATGTCAGCTGCTGGCCGGGACCCCAGCTCTGAAGGCAGAGCCACGACCAGCAGCAGCACAGAAGTAAGGATGGCATGGTGTGGT